CTCCCTGTAGCCACAGATGACTTGGAACTTGATAGACCAGGCTGGCCTGCATTACACAGAGATTCACCTGCCTCTGCCTCTCAAGTGCTGGGACTAAAGGCATGGTCTACCACTCTGGGCTTGACAGGTTAATTTTTAATGTCTGGTCTGTTAGCAAGGAACTTGTTGGGGTGATTGATCGTTGGTGATCCTAAAGAGAAATTCTCAAAGCAAGTCTTAAAGAAAAAGCTGTTAAGGAGCTGAAGAGATGGCTCGGCGGTGAGGGGCTCTGGCTGCTCTTCAGAGGACTGTTCACTAAGTGATGTTTGCTTCAGTCGCTTCCAAATCTTTCTTTCCAAAATTTTATTTTCAGTATGAGTATTTTGCTGCATGTAAGTGCACCATGTGCATGCAGCGTGCCAGAAGACTTGGGGTGCTCTGGAACTGGAGTTACAGATCACTGCTAGGAACCAAAGCCAGTCCTTTGCAAGAGAAGCAAGTGTTCTCTTCAGCCTTTGTTGTTGTTGAGATAGGCTCTACTTTGTCGAGCCTGGCCTGCAGCTCCCTGTGTAGGCTTCATGGTTGGCCTTGAATTTGCTACCCTTCTGCTGAGACCTCTGAAGTACTGAAATAATAGGCCCACCACACCATGCCTTGCTCTACATTTCATTGGTTGATGGCTCATTTGTTTTTGGTTTGAATGATGAGCGTGTACCTATTCATTCACCCAGTGAATTACATTTTGGAAATTGTAAATAAACTGATATAAACATTTATGTGCTGGAGGCTGTATAGATAAAGGTCTTCCAAAGAGCATCATTGCTGGATTGTATAATAAAAATGTTTAATCTTACAAAAACAAAACAAAAACTGTAAGCTGCCTTCCAAAGTAGCTGTACCATCCTGATTCCTACCAGGAGTGGGGATTTCTATTGGTCTGTATCCTTAGCAGTATTTGCTGCTGTCAGTGTTGCAGATTTTGTCTACTCTAGTAGGGGCGTACTGACATGATGTGCCGTGTCTTCTCATATACTTATTTATATATATCTGCTTAGGTGAGGTCTCTGTTAAAGCTTTTGTTCCAGTTTTTAATTGTTTTTTAAAATTTTCTTATCGATGGATATTAAGAATTTTTTGTGTATTTTGGGATGCCGGGGAGACTTAACTATTTGTAATTAACTCAATTTTTAAAAAATCACCATCCATTAACAAAACAAATGATAAAGATATTTGCAATGTTGAAAACTTAGAAATGTGATGACACTTATCTTAGAACTTGGAAAATATTATATGCTTTATAATGTTACCTGCATTTAAATATTTTGTATTAAAACTGTGTATGTTAAGAGTTTTCATGTAAATCTGTGCCAACATATTATTGCAGTTATTCCAAAATATCTATGTTTTCTTTACTAATGCAAATAAGAGTGGAGATTTATTGTAAATAGGAGGAAGCAGTGCTGGAAAGACAGGCAGGAAGGTGGTAAGTGTGTTGACTGACAAAGAAAAAGATTGAGTTTTATCCTGTAAGCAGTGAAGAGGCACTAACTGGAAGAATTAATCGAGACAGTAATGTAGTCAGAGTTATACTTCAGAAAGATCACTTCTGTTAGAGCATATGGAAGGAACAAAGGACCAGAGCTTTGCAGAGCAACAATTATGCCAAGGCCTTTCAGTTCTATGACTTGATACCAAACAGCATAATAATGAAGCACCTGGCGCTTGAGCCTTCTGGGGAAGGTTACAGAGGGGTCAAAGGGATGTGGCTCATCTGTAGTTTAGGAAGCCCTGAGGCTCACACATGTACAATATGCTTGTAACACGCCCTTGTGCATAAAGATATACAAGTGCCTCAAGGCCTGTTTTTGATTTTTTTTTGTCTTTTGATCCTTTCCTTTCATACTTGCCAATTTAAAAATGCCCTACATTTTAACTGCTTGCTGCACAGAAAAGGGAAATGAGTGATTTGCATCATCCACAAAGAAGGGCCTAATTACAAGTGTCTGGATAGGAAGCAACAGGAAATAGACATGAGTGCTGGATGGTAGGCAGAGCAAGAAGACAGAAGACTGAGAGAGAAAGCAGAATCCTTGGATGTAGGGATTGAGAGCTTGAGGGCAAAGAAAAAAAGGATATTCTGCATGCTTTCTGTCTGACATTTAGGAGATTAAAAGTTTTATGAACCAGCAGGAGAGTAGTTTGGACAGCTCCCACGATAAATTGAGAAAGGTAAGTTTTGGGTATTTTGAATACAATACTGCCAGACAAGTCATGCATTGTAGCACAAGTCTATAATTCCAGCAATTGGGAGACTAAGGCTAGCCTGGGCTATATAGTAACATCCTGCCTAAAAATGAAATAATACAAACAGCAACAGCTACCACTACTACAACAAAAGACTGCCAGACATTCAAGTGGATCTGTTCAAACAGGAATTTAAAATTCAAAAATCAGAGCTCAGGAGAGGTCAGAGTTAGCTAAAAATAATCAAATTTCAGGATCTAGATAGTGTTCATTTCTACAGCAATGAATGAGCTTATCTGGAACAAAGTGAAGGCTAAGGGCAGGCTCTACCAACAGTAAAACGGTCAGAGTTGAAAAACACAATATTGCTTCTCACATACGCTGGTGAGAAATTTAGCAAAGTCAAAGGGTCTGGGGTTGGTGATGAGGTGGGAAGCTGCTTTCGTAGGGTGGTAGGGATGGATATTTGTCTCTAGGAAGGACTGGCAGAAAGAAGGCAATGAAATGGTACCTGAGACCAACAAGGAAGTGGGCTGGAGAGCACTTCTTACACGAACTGTGTTAACCAAACAAGAGACAACAGAAATGGACCTGTAACTCCTAGAGAAAGATACAAAGCCTCCAAGGAATTTGAGGTAATCTGATTTATTGTGTAACTATAGTTTTCATTAGCTTTGTTGCTAATATGCCCTAAAAGGCTCTCTGTGATCGGAGTTCAGCTCACTTCTCTAGCTGCACTTTCATCCCCTCTCCCCTGCACACAAAGCTTCCACTTTTTCGAAAGCCTCCTGCGTTTTCTGTTGATGTCTGTAGCTTTCATATTCAATTTCCTGTTAGTCTGATGAATCTATAATGATCATCCTAGACTCTTAAGTTCTCAATAAATCATTTCTGTGTACTCAAGGTTGTTAACAGTTCCTTCCTCTGATCTCCCATTGCACTTTATACCACATATTTCTTTCTTTTTTTGAGACAGGGCCTCCCTATAGCCTCAGCTGGCCTGGAACTCACTATGTAGACCAGGCTGGCCTTGAACTCACAGACATCTGACTGCCTCTGAATCCTGAGTGCTGGGATTAAAGGCGTGTACCACCATGCCTGGCTATACCCTGTATTTTTATCACCTAATTTCATGCTGAGTTCATACTCCGTATTCTAAAAATGCTGAATAATCAAGTCATGTTTAGTTTGAAAGTCTTCATGTCATAATTTTTCACCAAAAAAATGTACTATGTAATACACCTGACGTTTATTCTTGCAATGTAATACTCCTTTAACTGATGTGTGGCCCATGTTCTGTAATCCCAGCGTTCTGGAGGATAATGCAAGGGGATCTGGAATTTGAGGCCTGCTGGGCTACATAGAATTCAAAATTCCAAAACCCCAAACCAAACCTAACCAAGAAAACAAAACAGAACAACAAAACCCTCAATCGCAAAACAAATATATATTTCAAAAAGCTCTAACCTCGTTTTTTGTTTGTTTTTGTGACAGGGTTTCACTAGGGTTTCCTGGATGGCCTGGAACTTGCCATGTAGACCAGGCTGGCCTTAAGCTCATGGAGATCAGACTGACGGTGCCTCCCCAGAGTGCGGGGACTAAAGGCATGTGCAACCACCACGAACCAGTTTATTGTCATTCTCTATTTGATTTCTAAATAGAGGCGGACTATTTTTGTTTCCTTCCGCTGTTTTTTGAAGCAGTTATCCTTTCTGGCTGATGTATTAAGTAGGGATGACCTCCTTTTTAAACCTAAATGATTAAATTTAAACCAATTAAGGTTTCTTAGTAGTGTAAGAATCAAGGTCTTAATCTCTACATTTGCATTTAACTGTTGGCTCTCCAGAAAGTAGCCGACCCCTATACCTGGTTTCAGGTTGGTTACAATTAGCATGGGACGACTTTAGCATAAAAGGCTCATTTTGTATTAAAACAGTTTTGTGGGAAGAAGGTGGTGGTGGTGGCGAAGATAAAAAACCTTTCATCAAAATCCCGCCAGTTTGCATTGTTCTTTCGGGAATAGGCTTTCAAAAGCCAAGGAACAAAAGAGGATTTGCTTTTCCAATCTTCCAGAAGCTACTACAGGGAGAAACCAAAGCTGTGTATAAACTGTGAGAGAGAGGGGAGGGGTGAAATCGAGCAGAGATGGAGCTAGGGCTCCAAGGCTTTATTTTGCCCTGGAAACTGGTTATGCAATATATATAATCAGAGGCGCTTAACGGCATCAAAGCACCGACCGGCATTCTTCCCACCCCATATCTGACCACAGCTGAGATACAATGGGGCAGGCGGAGGTCCAGAGAGACCCAGCCACCTGTGCAGAAGCCAGGGCAGAGCCAGTGTCTCCAGGGACTTAGAAATGCTCTGCGGCTCTGGAAGCTTCCCGGGCCCTAGAAGAGCTCGGAAGCTCGTCGACAAAGCAGGAACGGGGTATCGCCGCTTAGTTCTTACTTGGTAGGGAGGGGAAGAGGGTTAGAAAGGGAAACCCGCAAGTCAGTAGGATTTGCGAGTTCTGAATCTGTCGCAACTCTCACACCGGGAACCGGGTGCTGCAACGTACACTAGGTAAAACGCACACAGACGCTGCTGGTGTGGTCTGCGCACGCGCACCGCAATTACGCATGCGCCCACTCGCGCGCGAGCCCATGTTCCGAGTGCGTATCCTGGAAGCTGCCAAGGCCGAGGGCGGGAGGGAGGCGGGACGCGGGGACGAGGGGCGGGACGCCGGGGCGGGGCTAGCGAGACCGGAGAAAGTCGCCGGGGGCGCTGGAGTCGCGTGTTCCCACCCCCGCAGGTGGCCGTTGCAAACTTCACTTCCCGGCTCTCCGCCGCTGGCCCGCTTTGGCGTTCTTCCCGGTCAATCGCGTCTCAACAGTTTCCACTCTTTCCCCAGAGGCTGCCTGGGCCTTCCTCCCCCGAAACCTGCAGCTGCCCCGGGGGCGTGGGTGCGCAGGCTGGACCACGCGAGCCCCGAGGTAACCGCGGGCCGTGGGTGCCTGGAGGTGAGCGCCCGGGCGGGGAGGTGCTCAGGCGACGGCCTGCGGGGGCACCGCTGGCGCTCGAGTGGCCTGGTCCCCGTGCGCGCACTCCTCCAGCTCCCACGCCTGGAGGAAGACGTCTGCGGAGCATCCTAGGGGGAGGCGGCCCCAGACCCTGGAGACTCACTTGGAGGTCAAGGACCGCGACTTTTTCGTTTTTCCCCTGGGGTTTTAAATGGCAGTCACGCACTAGGTAGCCTGGGATAAGCAAAAGAATGATATGTGTCAGAATGGTTTCTGCATCTTCTACTTACCCTCCAGGACACTTAGTTTTAAATGGCAGTCACGCACTAGGTAGCCTGGGATAAGCAAAAGAATATGTGTCAGAATGGTTTCTGCATCTTCTACTTACCCTCCAGGACACTTAGAACAGTCAGCTGTGAGTTTTTAAAGCTGTGACTTTTCTGCAGAAGTGATGCCTCTTTTTGAATGCTTATTCTGTTGCAGTATTCACCCTAGGCAAATGCATATTTTATTTATTAGCGTCTGTATCAAACGCTGCGTTTTTATAATCTTGGCAAAAAAAAACAAAAACTACCGTTTTGTCTTGTATTTAACTGCTTAGTAACGACAAAAGCATGGTAGAGCCGGAAATGAATGTGCTTCCCTGTGAAATACAGAGGAACAAAGCCAGTGTAACTTGATATTAAAAGTGAAGGCAGTAATCTTAGTCTGAAGCTTTCAGTATTAATCCTGGCTCAGCCTTTAATTAACACTGTGGTAGGCAAATCACCTAACCTTCCTGGGTTCCTTATGGCAGATAAGGAAATTGGGCTTAGTCTCTGAAGTTCCAGCATTAGTTTCTTGTCTCCCTTTGTCTTTGTCTTGTTTTATGGAAAGACTCAACTATCTCCTTGATTTTTTTCTTTTTTTTCCAGGGATAGGGGTGGTTGAGATTGAACAAGAACTTGAGGCATGAAAGT